AGCCCCATCGCAGGGCTCCCATCCCCCAGGGAGGGGGCTGTCCCAGCGGGGGCGGCCGCGGAGCGGGGGGGACACCCGGGCAGCCCCGGCCCGGCGCGAGCCGCCCCCCGGGCGCGGAGGCGGGGACGGGGCCGGGGCCGGGGCCGGAGCCGGAGCCGGGACGGGCGGCGGCGGCAGCGCAGCCCGCACCGGACCCGGTCCCCAGGGACCATGGGCACCGCGCAGAGCCAGAAGCCGCGGGAGCCGCCGAGCCCCGAGCGCCGGTAAGTGCCGCGCGCCGCCCCGCCGGCCGCCGAGGGGTTAACCCCCCATCTGTGGGGCGTCCCCCCCTTGCCACGGCCGGGAGGAGCCGCGGGGGGCCGCGTTTCATTGCAGGAGCTGCGGCGGGGCGGCACAAACGGAGGGAATCGGAGCTGCCTGGAAGTTTTGTCCCCAGGGAAAAACCAGGGGCCGAACGTGCCAAGTGCTGTCCGTAGCCCGGCCGAGCTTGGAGAGCGTAAACAGAAAGGAAGCGCGGGCTAGGCTGCGATTAGGCACAAACGCGGGCATGGGTTATCTCAAAATCAACCCAAACACTTTCTGGAACAAAGAAATATTTTCCTTAAAAGAGCCCGCCCGCCGCTCCGGAGGAGCTGCTCTCGGGTGGCTGCTTTTCCAAGCAGGAGCCCGTGGGTTGGCACCGGCCCCGCTGCTCCCGCTCCAGCGCGGCGCTCCGGAGCTGCTCCGTGCGCTGCAAACATTCCGGGCTCGGCGCCAGCCGTTGCAGCAGGTGACGCCGCGCGGGCGCTGCCGTCTCAGCGTTTCGGGACGGCGGCTGCTGTGCGAGCGCTGGGTCGCGCAGGGAGCGAAAACACCGTTTTTTGCCGTGTGCAGCAAAATCAGGTTCAGGAGGGCGCCAAGCCGGTCCCCGCTGTTGTTCTTTCCCCAAAGCAATTCCCTTTTCCCTTTTATTGCTCTCTGGGTCCCTCCTGTCCCGCCTGCCCCCCACAAATGGGGCTGCGGTGCTGCCTGCTTTCACAATCCAGAGCCAAGGCCTGGCAAACACCTGATAAGGAGCATTCCTGCCGCTCGGAGCGGGTATTTTTAGGAAGCAGAGCCGAGGAGCAGAGGGAGGAGCAGAGCAGCAGCGGGATGAGGGAGGATGCGCGCGCCCAGCCAGCGTATCGGTGGAATCGGGAAGGATCTCCGTGTCCTGAGGCTGTTTCTGCAGGATGACTTTGCTGCGTGTGTCATTAAACAGCACGCAGGGCGGCCGGGCCAGTGCGTGCGATTCCGTGTCCGTCCTTTTCAGTGCAGCCACAAGTGCATTCCCTAACTGGATGGCATGAGGATCGGGAAGGGCATCCCGAGCCCAGGGTTCCTGATGCTCCCTTTCCTGCTGCTCTCTGGCAAGCGTGTGGGAGCAGGGGAGGTTGGAAGGGAAGGAAATTGCGTGTTGAATTCCCAGGCATTTCGCAGATCCCTCTTGGGATCTGTATTTAGAGCCTTTCCTGCAGGGAGAAGCCTGGCCTGCGGAGCTGCAGCGTCGCAGCCAGGTTATCGCTGATCCGTCCCCAGCCGGGGTGGGTGCCAGGCAGGAAATCACCGCTCCCAGCGTTTCCATAATTGCTCCTAGGAGCTGGCAAGCGGGAGCTGCTCTCCAGCTGCTCCAGTGCTCCCTTTGGAGCGCCGTGCCCACGGAGCGCGGGGTGGCTGAGGCCGCGTTCCCGGCGCGCGCGCCTGCTCGCACGGAGCTGATGAGTCACGGAGGCGCCGGAGGCTGCCACGTGAGCGCAGCATCGGGGCCGGCCGTGCCGGCTGCACAACCGGCCTCTTCCCGCTCCTCGGGATGCCCACGGAGCTGCCGGAGGGGAAGCCGGCCCGGAGCGCGCGGCGCAGACGGGATCCCCCAGGCCGGCGCTGCGGCAGCGCCGGTCTGCAATGCATCCAAGGGCCGGGATGCGCCGCGAGCCGAGGCTCTCCAGCGTGAGCCTCCCGTGGAGGCTGGGGCAGCGTCGCCTTCCGCGGCGGCTGCGTGTTGCTATTTGCAAACAATAGCTTCATAAATAAACCAGCCCGCGGCCGCGGGAGGATGTAGCCTCAGCCCGAGTCAGCTTTTCCCTGGAAAATGAAGGGGCAGGTGCTTCCCGCTTGTCCGGGCATGGAGCTGGGGCTGCGCCTGGCTGTGGGGCGCTTGGGCCGGCTGTCGCCTTCGGCGCGCGTGGGGTGGAAGGAATCTGCCGCCGGGATCTGTTACAGCGCAGGTGCAGCCTGGAATGTGCGGGGGATAAATCCGGGAGGGTAGATCCGGTTTCAGGGGAGGGTTCCCTTGGGCCTGGAGGAGCATCCTGGCACGAGCGAGCCGAGGGAATTAGGCTCCGGCACCCGGCTGGGATTTGGGAGCAAGGTGCACACAGTGGCATCTGTCTGGATAGTGATGCCCCAGCCCTGAGTGGCATTTGGGCCAAAAATAGGGGAGTTTGGGGGCAAAATAAGGGATCCTGGGGCAAAAACATAAGGGATTTGGAGGCCAAAAATAAGAGATTTTGAGTGTGAGATATCGAGTGTTTTTGTGCGGCGGGGGGCAGAGGACGCGCCGGAATTTGGGGGAGGTGACACAGGTGTCCCCGCCGGGGGGGCTCCGCGCGGGGAGAGGCGGGGCGCAGCGCGGCTCTAAAGCGCGGCTCTAAAGCGCGGCCCTAAAGCGCGGCTCTAAAGCGCGGCCCTAAAGCGCGGCCCGGGGCCGGGCCCTCCCGGCCGAGCCTGTCGCCGCGGCTGGGAGGGGA